GAATGTTCAACAATGCTAATGTTCTTTTCCGGACAAAGTTTGTTGATGGAGTTTCAACAGTCCAAAGGACAGTAACAAAGCAGACCAAGTGATCTGCTTATACGTCAATCCAATCATTAGATTCAATTGTACCCATTGTCCATTGTAATATTGTGAATAACATCATCTATGTTCATCATTTTCTAGTCCTCTTGGTCTCTATGACTTGTTATAATACGGTTCTATTTTGTTCTTGAATATTTTTCTGTTTGTAGTTCTTACTTATATCTACAAGACATTTTATTGAAAGATTAGTTACTTGTTATCGGAAAAAGTGTGCATTGGATACACACAAATTTGAAGTAAAAAGAAAAACTCTATTGCTTATGTAAAGATTTGAGTTGGGAGAATCCGGATCGTATACGGTGAGTCGGTGTCCTTTTCATTTTTATTATTTCTCTAATAATCATCAATTAGAGCACTAATATCATTTTTTCTATCATATATATTGTTTTGAAAAATTTGCTTAACCAATTTTGATCTAATCGAAATCAATTTTAACGTAAATTTTGGCCCAGCTTATTTTATAAAAGTCAGACAATTTTGCTAATTATCAACTTCATTCATTTTCAGATTTTGAAATTCATACTCAAAAACATTACAAAAAATGAAGATAAAAATGCTACTGGTGTTGAAAATCTCTAAAAATAAAATGATTTTATAATTCTACTTTTGAATCAAAATTCATACTGGACATCTTAAAACATTAAAAAATACCTACATTTTGGCTTTAAGCTAGAATACTAACTTTAGAGATATGTTTTCAACATTTGAACTCCTTTTGCACAACATTAGTCAGAATGCTAATAGAAATTTTATCGATTACATAAAATTTGATTCCTATGATCGGATAGGTAAAGTTTATTCATTATTTGAATTTTGAATTTCCGATATATACTGTTTATTAATATTTTTTCCTTTTTCAGACCATGTTCTCAAAGACTTCTACTATCCTTAATGTTCTGAATTGGACTACGTAAAAAAAAATCATCATCTATGTATTCCGCTTAATCATTTATGTATTCTACAAATATTGTTATTTCAATGTTATCACTCTTATTTGTACTTTGGCAAAAAAATTTATAAATGATCTAATAAATTATTATTTGCAAAAATTTGTTTGTTTAATGTAATTGTGGATATAAATTACTTATCATTGATCCCTCATTCATAAAAATGACCCTTGATGACTTGATCCCACATTAATAATGAAATGTTTCGAAAATTCAATTTGAATATAAATGGTAAAAATAGAAATTTTTTTTACCGAAATCAATATAAATTTTTTACCAGGATCAATATCAAAAACTGTAAAAAAAATATTATAGATAATCAAAATTTAATGGGTCAGCTGAACTATTCCTTCTCACTTATCTCCGCCATTGATGAGAAATCATAAATTGATATTAAAGTCTGTTATTTTGGTAAACAGTTTTTGGTCAAAAACTTGGAATTCAAACAATTACAATGCATTTTCTAATACCGATGTATATTTATGTTTCAACTACCACAAATGTAGATAGCAACTAACAGAAAGATACATTTGATCTAATTTGTTCCAGTTTATCTTTGTCTAAGAAAATTATTCTAACTAATAGCATGAGTCACGAAAGGGGGTGACATTATCACATTTTTTTTTTTTTTTTTTTTTTGAACTTTAACATTATCACATTGTTAGGAGAAGAAATGTATAAAGAAACTTAAAAGGCAGAGAAGCATTTTGGGGTATCGAATTAATATATACTTGGGAGGTCAAAATGTTGATGAAAAAATTGATTAAATTTAAGTTGGAGTAAGCGGTGGTTGACAATTAAATTCTAGTTAACATAGCAAAGATTTATACTAATAAGACATCAAGTACCCAATGACTTAGGAAAATAATAAATCACATGGAAAAAGATTTGTGAAATCTTTTGGCGGTGCACTAGAAAAGCAGGAACATGACTGTCCTCTGTTGTAAAATACTACGTAAACCACCACTGCATTTAATTTTAGAGATCTATATATAATTACAAGTTTTATCCACTGAAAAGAGAGTAGACAACTAATTTAATTGTCAACGCTTAATTCTTATGTAATTTGGTTAGTAAGCCAACGGTCGATTGCATGCACTCGCCTTCCATTTGACTTCCACTCTCTTTGAACTTTTTATATACAAATCAAATCATTGACAAGTAATCGTATGTCAAACCGCCCTTTCTAACATATTATTAAAAATCAAATCATTTTCCTAAGAAACGCCCCTTCGAATGAGGATGCGATTCTTACAATTTATTAATCACATTATAAAATCAGTTATCGATTCATGCTGATTCTTTTGACAATATATGTAGAATATCATCTTTGATTCTTAGTTTATCACTAAAAAAAATGACTTACATGTTAATTTTGTCTATGATATCGCTTGTGAAAGAATCTGATTACATTTTTTGTTGTTGGTGAAACTTAGTATAGAGGTAAGTTTCAAATCATGCAACTAATAAATATGCTATACTATGAAAGAAAACGCTATTAGAAAGATGGGTTAAGATTTAACCGTTGACAAAGTAATTAGCTTGTAGAGTTTCCAATGAAATCAAGTTGCAGAATAAAAATGTAAGAACAACCATATTTTGGAAACACTTAAAACACTAATGAGGAAAATTTATTGAGGAGAGAAGATATCATCTTGAGGTTTGAGAGATTAGGATTTGGGTAGGCTTAGAAAATCCCAGAAGACATGGAAAAGTCTCGTGCTTCGATACCTCTCCATAGTCTCAAATCCTTTTTACATTTCAACATTTAAAACATTAAATTTATCATAATACTCCATACGTATAGGTCATATTCTGCATAGAAAAATATTTGATGGCATAAGGGAAATTGATTTAGAAAGAATCAAAAATGTCAAGCTCGTTGACCTTTTAGTGGCCTATATAAACATAGCATGGACTCAACTCAACACTCAACAGAGAGAAACACATCGAGGCTGGAGAGACAGAGAGAGAGAGAAGAAAAGAGAAAAGTAAGAGAGAGAGAGAGAGAGAGAGAGAGATGAGGAGTGACGTGGCACGTCTCAGGTGTGGGAAGACGATTCCATTGCTTGGGATGGGAACTTATTGTCCTCAAAAAGATCGAGAGAGCACCATCTCAGCCGTCCATCAAGCCATCAAGGTTCATTTTCTATCTTCTAAAATTATTTCACTCTTAATTTAACCAAAAAAAACTTTATCAAATGATATAAGTCACTTCTACACCATCCCCATAATTTAAGTCATAAACTACACGCAGAGGAGAGTAGTCACTTGACCACCAAATATGATTAAAATTATGTTTAGAAGTTACTTCATAGTATATTTTTATTTATACAGAAACGCGGATTCATAACTTGATTTCTTTTACAAGTATGAAAACATAATATCTATCTACTAACAGCTATAACGAATATTTTTAAAATCAATCCTGTAACTTCGATATCTCATAAGCTTACTTCTTGGAATTATGGAGGCAGATAGGGTATAGACATTTTGACACAGCAAAGATATATGGATCAGAAGAAGCTCTAGGAACTGCATTGGGACAAGCTATCTCCTATGGAACTGTCCAAAGAGAAGATATATTTGTCACTTCAAAGTTATGGTCTAGTGATCACCATGACCCTATCGCTGCCCTCACACAAACTCTCAAGTAAGCTTCTCTCTACAAACACAAACACTCACCTACAATATTATGAAGATCAACAGATCAATCTCATGACCACATATTGTTTATGACTTTATAGGACGATGGGGCTAGAGTATCTAGATAGTTACTTGGTGCATTGGCCAATAAAGCTAAAGCCAGGAGTGAGTGAGCCTATCCCAAAGGAAGAAGAGTTTGAGAAAGATTTGGGGATTGAAGAAACTTGGCAAGGCATGGAGAGATGCTTTGAGATGGGTATGTGTAGATCAATTGGTGTTAGCAACTTCTCTTCTAAAAAGATCTTCGATCTCCTCGATTTGGCTTCTGTCTCTCCTTCGGTTAACCAGGTTTGGATTCAACATTACTTACCAAGATATCTTGTTTCTTTTTTTTTGAGGGATTCAAGAAACTAATTAAGATTTTGTGTGTATATTTATATAGGTGGAGATGCATCCATTGTGGAGACAAAGCAAGCTAAGGAAAGTGTGTGAAGAGAACAAGATCCATGTAAGTGGATATTCACCACTTGGTGGGCCAGGGAATTGTTGGGGATCAACAGCTGTGATTGAACATCCTGTCATCAAATCCATTGCTCTAAAGCATGATGCCACTCCAGCTCAGGTAACTCGTAAAAAAATATACATAAGTTATCTTTTTTAAAGAGATTTATCTAATTTCAAATTAATTTTAAGTGTTTTTTTAAAAATTAATTGATTTTATAATTATTCTTTTGATAGATTATTATGTTTTTGAAGTTACATAGTAACATGTAAATGTAACTACATATGAAAAATAATAATAATTAATAATTGATTGTAAGTAACCAATGGTGTATTATCTATAAATGAAGGTGGCTCTAAGGTGGGGAATGTCAAAAGGGGCAAGTGTGATAGTGAAGAGTTTTAATGGAGCAAGAATGAGAGAGAACAAGAGAGCCCTAGAGGTTAAATTGGATGATCAAGACTTGTCACTCATTGACCAATTGGAGGAGCGGAAGATCATGAGAGGAGATTTCCTTGTTAATCAAACCACAAGCCCTTACAAATCCATCCGACAACTTTGGGATGATGAGATTTAATTTGTTAGGGTTTCACATTATTCAATCCAAAATGTAATTTCATCCCTTGACGTTCTTATGATCATCCTTTTTCTCATTTGGTATATAAAGTCATTACAACATAAAATAACTCTTGGTTGATTGATTTAATCCTTCTTTTTCATGGAACTAGAACGATTTCTGATTTCGAGTCCTAGCTCAAAAACAAAGAATTGTAGATACGGTAGATTATAAAGCCCTCTTCTTAAGAGTTTTGGCCGCTAAATGTTTGGACGATAGTGTTGTGCCATGGATCAGACAAGTGCTGCAACAAGTTCTCAAATGGCCCTTTTCCAGTTACGTTGTGTTGAACCACAAACCCTAAAAACGCCAGCATCGCCAGCCTCCCTGCAAAAAAAAAAAAAAAATCAAACCTTTCTAATTAGGTTTCTTGCTTAAGAAGTTAAAAGGTCTGTGGTACAATGTATTATATGACTAATATGTTAGTTACCGTTGGCAAGCTCTTTCTCCTTAGCCTCGAGCGTGGGAGCGAAGTTAAGCGGGTTAAAGATTCCGCCTGGATAACCAACTTCATTAGCAGGTAAGCTATATTGCTTAAAGATCGGATCTTGGTTCACACTTCCCGGGTTCTTGATGTCTTGCCACCTTCTGATCTCAACGTAATGGAAAAGTATAAACTCAATAACGAACAATGTCGACGATGATGCAAAGTATTGCTCTTTCCCGGCGTCATACCATTCCGGTGCGTTAATGATTCCTGTCACGTTAATTGGATTGAACACGCCAGTACAAAATAAGTTGTTTGAATCGAAAATGTTCAATTATAACTTAATTTTACCAATCTTGGTGAAGACTTCCGGTAAAAGCATTCCGGCGACACCGAGCATCGCCCACCGGCCATTGACTAGCTCTGCTTGAACGAACCATTTCAAGTTCTCAGGGTCCTCTGCTAGAGCCAGAGGATCAAACCCATTGTCCCCCGCTAGACTGGTTCAAAACCCATTTTAACCATACAATTTACAATCATCTAAACCGGTATCCGGTTCAAGTTGGTCAAATTATCAGACAATTTAATGTAGTTGGTCAGGTTATGTTAAACCATAATTAGAATCGATACGAGTGGATTACAATGCAAGATTTTTGGGTGGTCTAAGATTTGTGAAATACATTTTTCTTTTCAGAAATGTTCAACTTTGTTGCAACAAAAAAGATTGTTTGCAGTCAAATGTGTCTATTCTAAGTTGGTCTGAGAGAATAATGTGATGTAAGTGTGTTTGTATATTACCTGCCGGTGAGGTAACCCGGCGATGCTAAACCGGGCAACCATTCTCCTTTCTTGGCTTCGATTTTGAACGACGCCGTATTAGTTGATAAGCCAATCTGTTTAACCGATAAATCCCGGTTCAACCGACCGGAAGAACCGCTAAGGAACATCTTCCTCGATGCACATGGTCGGAAAACCGCGGTAGGGGATTGCGTTGTGACAGTTGCCATTGTCTACTTCACTTGATCCGACCCTACCCGACTTAAGAATCCGGTTCTTGAAAGAGATTAGTAGAAGATAAAGAGAGTTATGCAGATTTTGTATATTTATTTTGGCTGTGAGATGAGTTTGTGGCTGTGGTTTGAAGATCCACTGTCCGCCGTGCGATTAAATGACGTGGGAGATTGAACGGTTATGATGGCCTTAATGGATCGGGTTGAGCCGACGTGGAATCTCGTAGCTTTATCTGTCAGTCAGGGTGGCGTATCAGAGAGGATTCATCGAGATTGGTCAGAATAAGATACTATGGGTCCCGCTAGTAATAATGCCACGTGTACATAACTGAAAATAATCGCTTCTGTATGGTGGTGACTTGAATATGGGCCTTATTAAGAAGTATGGGCCTGGTCAAAATAAAGGGTTTGCCTAACATGATGTCTGATTTTCGAGATTACGTCAAAGCTTTGGGCCAATTATGAATCTAAAGATTTTGACGAACCTCTTGAAAATCAAGAGAACAAACCCATAAATAAATTATCAATTAATACGGAAAAGAATAATAATTAGGTTATAGATTGATTTTCAAGAGAGTTCGTCAAAATCTTTACATACATCCATTTCTCTCTAGATTGATTATAGAAATCAATTAAATTATAAATTGGTAAATTCTTTTTTCTCGTTAATTATTTACACGGCGGAGTGTTGGGTAATTCTTAAAAGCGAAATGGATGGATTACTATATTCTGTTCTAGAATATATAGAAATAGAATACGATTAATTCTAAATAGATAAATAAAAATATGAATAGAATGTGTTTTTACACGAGTCACATTCGTAGGAGAAGCCATTCGTGTGGAAAGTCTACTCATCTAAAGCTTCCTTTTTAATTCACTTTACCAAGTGGACTTATCTTTTTCAATTTTCACCATTTTTTTCCAAGTTCATGTCATTTTTTCTTTAAAAAAGGTCTGTGATAAAAATAAAATAAAAATCTGAATAATCAAAAAATGTTAGAACGTGCGTGGTCTACAAAGCCTTCTAATTTAAATGAACTTTAGAAGGTTAGTTTAGAAAAGTAAGTAGAAAATGAAGTTGAACTAATTAAGATTTATTAGGCATTTTTAAGAAAAGATTTTAAGAGCCTTCTTCTTATTAAAGACGATAGGAAAGAAAAGGTGAATCTGAAGTATAAAGTATTCTTGAATCACAGTCGAGGATTGACTCTGACTTTCGATGATTAATGAGATTAAAGGTGATTGGCCGTAATTACTGTGTGCTTATATGTGTTTGATGATCTTCAAATATTAGTAAACTTCTGTTTCTTTTCTCAAAGAAAAAACAAAGAGAGAGACACAAAATAGCATTTTAAAGAGACATCTTGGATTTGAGCAAGCAAAAGCAGTCTAGATGGAAACGAAGGCCAGTCATATCTCAAGTGTCTTATTATGCCTTATAAATGCCCTTAGAACGCGTTCGGCATCAATTATAGTATTATCGTCATGTTAAACCACACTTCTTCTTTTAGGGTGCTTGCAGTTAATGAATTTTTTTTTTTTCCCAAAATTATTCTGCAGTACTTTTAACCAATTGAGCAGAAGACGATTCATTGATTGCAAATAGAACTATAACTTAGTTACATCTACGAATTTTTAGGGAAAATGACAAACTGCTTTGTCACAAAGTGAAATTATGAAAAGAGCAAACACAGAGGGGAAAAAGAAACTTGTCTTTCTCTTTACTTTCAGCACCAACAAATATGTACTCTGTCCCACAATATTTAGTATTTAAAGGAAATATAAAAATGGTTTAGAATATCACATTTGTGGCTAAAATTAGTTGAGCTGTCCAAAGTTCAGAGAAATAATTAAACTTGGAAAACAATGTGACCCATCTGTTCCAGCAGCAAAAGTATAACAAGGAAAATTTATAGTATAAGAAAACAGATGAAAGTAACTTTTTCACCACGTTAGATGAAGAGACGGTCTAATTTTCTTTGTTTTAATCTAAAAAAAATTATATCAGGCCGGTATCGATCAAACAAAATGTTCGATAAATTTACATACATTGTTTTGATATGGTTGGTCAACAAATTATCCAAGAAACGAAATTCTTAAATCAATCTCGGAGACTTTTTTTTCCCAAAAATGTACTACAACTACTTCACACAAAAATATGTAAAACATTACACACGACAAAATTAGACTTTTTGACTGCTAGCTCTATCAGACTATTGAATAGAATGAAAATGACGGTCAAAGCGAACTTGTCCACGCTGTTATTTATTCTTACAGCAAACTTCAAACTTAAAAGACTAGATATTAGTATAAAATAAAGTAAATGGTACCAAAACTGTTAAACCTTAGAAATAAAAAGGGCAGAAAAAAAACAATTAAGCCCGACTCTATACATATCACATATGTATACGATCACATCCTTCCGTGGAAATTGATCGATCTTGATAACGCAGCTGGATTCGCATAAAGAACAAGAGAAGTCTCTGTTTCTTTTTTGTTAGTCCTAACATCTTTCTTCGAATCAAACCCTTTGAACATAACTTTGTTCTTGATACCAAGTGTTGTCCAAATAGAACTCTTTGCAGCTTCGTTAGGATCGTCAATTCTAAAAGTCTTAGGAACCAAAACAGATCCATTCATCTGTCTTCGCTGCATGGACTCGTTTTCGTCTCTCGAATGCTTACCAAGAGTAGAATTAGTCGAAGAAGACAACGTTGGAGTGTTCCAATAAGGGTAAACCGGGTAAAAACCAGGATTCCACGTGTACGGCCAAGAGATTCCTGGAAAGCAATCCAAACCGTTCATTTCGTTGTTACGTGTTCTTGATTCATCAACCGAGTGCTCATTGTTCTCTATCCGAGCCACGAGCTTCGGTTGCCCAACTCAGGACCGGGCCGCTGGTTTCGGAGATGGTGACGTGGCGGTATTGATATGAGTTGTTATTGTTCTTGCGTCGTCCGGCTCCGACTGGGACGCTTCTCATGGTTCCACCAGATGTCCAATATCTTTGACAAGCTTTGCAGAAATGGCGAGGTTGGTTTACGTTGTAATTGTTGTAATAACAGAGTTTTGTCTCCATACTGTTGCATCTTGGACATGGGAGAATCTTGGTTGGTTTCTTTAGGGTTTTATCGATTGATCTGTTAATGTCTCGTTTTGGTTCTGAGGCAATAAAATGGAATAGGATAATTTAGGAACGGATGAATAAAAGAAAGAAGAGTTTTTTTTGAAGCATATACGAAAAAATGGTTTTAGAAAGAAATGAATTATTTGATAAAAAAAAGAGAGAAAGAAATGAATTACAATGATTTTTGTTTTCAGTTTTATATCCTTTTCTAGATATTTTTTTTTGTTTGAAAGTTCACAGAATATACCCCATATTAATTTATTATTTGCAATATATAATGAGTCTATCTCAAGAAGAAGGTTCTAGAGAATGTTTCGGTGTAGAAAAAGTTTTTGAGAACACGCTTTGCCAGAAATTAAATTCTCTCTCACTTTTATAGATTTGATTAAACGAAAGAGCAAATCCATTTTACTATAATTATTAGTATATCATATGGAGAAACGAATTTGCTTTATAATTATACCAAAAAAACCATCAATTGAATGTTTGTTCTTGTCTTATGCCCATATATACGAAGCCCATATATACGAAGCCCATATGACCCAAAGTCAGAGCTAGGTTTAGTCGCAACTCTGCCGCCCTCTATATAAATAGCTTAATATATCTCAATTTTCAGACACATTCTAACTGGTAACCCAAAAGATGTCTATTCCAGTTAGTCAGATCTGGGGTTATCTCTTAAATATTCCTGCGATTTTTCATTCTGTTTTTGCTTTCTAAATGTTCTTTGTTTTCTAAAGTTTGGTTTTTTTCATAACTTTGCCTCTTCTCTACATTTGAAAGAGGCAGATCCGGATGAAAGTTTTTCGCTATTAAAAACCAATAAGATCTGTCTGGCTCCGATGATGATCCAAGAACTAAAGCAGTAAGTTTTCATTCATTTTGTTTCTGTCAAAGTTTTTTTCTTTTCTGTACAACTGTTCCTCTATAATTGTTAGAAGAGGGAGATCCGGAAAAAATTTCTTCACTGGCTTCTATGATATGGATTCATATGGATGATGTTTTTTCTTTATAGTTGGTTAACCAATTGTTTAAAAGAGCCGATATGGATAAATGGTCTTTTATCCGAAATCTTGTTGTTGTGATTTTAGAATTTCTTAGTTTTCTAGGCATTTCGTGAAATTATACTGTTTATTATTTTATCTGAATTTGTTAGTACATATTTAAATATATAGTTTCTTCTGAATTTCACAATCATACATGTTTGATGAATCGCTGGGCCTATGATCCAGATATCTCTAGGCCTTTGCTCCATAGTTTCGTGCCGTTTTTGTCTGGTTTTATATTACAATCAGATCTGGTTATTTGCAATATTTTGGTTAGGCTTCGAACACTTCTTTAGAGGGAATAGCTGTGAATCTTTGACAATTTTTTTTACAGCCGTTAGATCATTTTTTAATCAATGGTTGTTTTGTGAGTGATTGTCTATCCTCGTGAGTCTCTACTGACCAATAGCGATCAAGCATTATTTTATATATAAATTCCTCTCCTGCTGTGAATCCTTACAATTTTTAGCCGTTAAATCATTTTTCAATCAATGGTTGTTTTGTGGTTGAGTGATGATCCGTGTGATTTGCTATTGTCCAATAGCGATCAAGCATTGTTTTCTATATAAATGGGAGAGCTCCTCTATCGATTCCTTCATCTCTATTTCAGTAAGACTAAAATCGAAATTGTGATGGGGTTTTTCAAAAATTTGATGTTTTGTTTTGTTTTTAGTAAAAAACATCAAGATATTTGCTATTAATGTGTTTGTTTGTTTTTTAATTATTTTCATAAAACACATTAATAGCTAATAATTCGAGCACGTTACTTTTTATTAAACTTAAAACAGAGCATCAAATTTTTACTGTACCTCTCTCAGCATTTG